TGCAGTAGGATCAAAAACCCACTGCAATTGTTCTTGAATTCTCAGTATTCCTCATTGTCCGCTATGTTCAGCTAGTCCGGATTTATCCCATGCTTTTTCAGACCTAGGCCAGCTGGCCTTGGTGAGATCCTTTAATAAATATTTTTGCAATTTCTTTAGACCACATGGAATTAACTCCTTCTGGGAAGAGTAGAAATGCCAGTACTGGTAGCAAGGTATAGGAATAAGAATGTATTTATTATTTTGGGTTGGGTAACACGGTCCAGGAAAAAAAACAGACCAACGCCTGGACCCTCAGAGGTCCTGGCTCAAGCCTACTCCCTCTGAGGTCCCAGACTCACACCTGGCCCCACAGACATCTCTGGTTCCTGCCTCCTCTTTCCTTTTTTTCACAGCTGTGTACAAGAGGGTTTGGACTGTGGTGGTGGGAGATGCATAATCTTCAAAACTATCTAAAATATCAAAGTAAATCTCCTTAATAAAAATATAACTCTTGCCAGGCGGTGGTGGCGCACGCCTTTAATCCCAGCACTCGGGAGGCAGAGGCAGGCGTATCTCTGTGAGTTCGAGGCCAGCCTGGTCTAGAAGAGCTAGTTCCAGGACAGGAACCAAAAAGCTACGGAGAAACCCTGTCTCAAAAAATTAAAAAAAAAATTAAAAAAAAAATACAACTCTTTATTATACAGACTTTAAACCTGTCCAGAGGATTACAGAGTAAAGATGTTAAGGTTGTGATCCCAGGGTTTTGATGCATAATCTAATTTATGATTTATCATGTTTAGCAAACACCATGTGCTCAACCTTTCAAGAGATAAGACTTAGGAATATGTCTGAACACAGGGAATGTACTTCACCTCTATCAAAATGAACAGCAGGGGAAGCATTCTGGGAGGGCCTGCCTCTTTACAGCATTTGACAGATTCTGTGTTGAATGGGGAAGTTCTTAAATGCTACTTAGTACCATGGAAACTTCCAGTTTCAACAACAGACTGTCATTAAGAATTTGAAAACTTGCTGTTAGTGGTGGTGGTGGTGCCTGCCTTTACTCCCAGTATTCAGGAGGCAGAGGCAGGAGAATCCCTGTGACTTCGAGGCCAGCCTGGCCTACAGAGCTAGTTCAAAGACAGTCATGGCTACACAGAGAAACCCTCTCCAAAGCCCCTTCCCCACCCAAAAAAGAATCACTACTTTACAGTAGGATTCCAGTTCCTTAATCGGTCTTCACAGTACTGTCCTTGTATCCTGCTCACAGGTAGAAACACTGCCTCTTACAGAGGCTGAGCCACAGGTACACAGGGATGCAAGCTTGTGGTGCTCACCTCACACCTCCACAGCATCAAAGCCTGAGCTCAGGTCAGCTTCTATCAAATCAAAACCATTACTTTTGGGAACTTGATGAATCTGATTACAGAATATGGTAAAAACATCAGTTTTAGTATTAATCAATACATTTAGACAGGAATGTAGTGACTTCTTCCCTGTGGTCATTGTTGAAATCATAACACCTATGTCTAATGACTGGCAGGACCTCTTGATCATGCCAGGAGAGAATAAGCAAGGGGGAAGCTCCTCGGTGACTTTTTCAGATGCCAATACTCTTCTAACCAATTTGCAATTAAAAAATAAATTATATATGCATGAGATTTTGCCTTCATGCACGTCAGTATACCCCTCATGCCTGTTGTCCACGGAAGCTGTAAGAGGGTGTCAGACCCCCTGAAACTGGAGTTACAGATAGTTGTGAGCCACCTTGTGGGTGCTGAAAATTAAACCTGGATTCTCTGGAAGAGCGTCCAGTTCTCTTAACTGCTGAGCCATTTCTCCAGCTCCAGTAAGTGACATTTGTAATTACCCACTATAGCAAGCAGACAGAGAGCAAACATGAAAGGGTTTTTTATTGTATTATAGCATAAAGACACTAGAACTATTACTTTTCATATTTTATAAAAGCAAAAACAAAAATGAAGATACCATTTTAGCAAAACAAAGAATAAATTAAATAATGTTAGGCTTCTAAAAGTTAAGCAAATACACTATACGTTACAAAAACAAACAGGGGCTGGAGGAAAAGGTAAGACGTTGGGCATGGTGGCACACACATATAATCCAGTGGTGGGAGGTAAGCCTGAGAACAGAGGGAGACTTTCATTCACAAAGTCAAAAGAAGAGAAGGGCTGAAGGAATGGTTGAGCAGTTAACATGGGGCTGGAGGGACAGCTGAGCAGTTAACATGGGGCTGGAGGGACAGCTGAGCAGTTAACATGGGACTGGACGGATGACTGAGCAGTTAACATGGGGCTGGAGGGATGACTGAGCAGTTAACATGGGGCTGGAGGGACGAGTGGGCAGTTAACATGGGGCTGGAGGGACGGCTGAGCAGTTAACATGGGGTGGAGGGACAGCTGAGCAGTTAACATGGGATGGAGGGACAGCTGAGCAGTTAACATGGGGCTGGAGGGATGACTGAGAAGTTAACATGGGGCTGGAGGGACGGCTGAGCAGTTAACATGGGATGGAGGGACAGCTGAGCAGTTAACATGGGATGGAGGGACAGCTGAGCAGTTAACATGGGATGGAGGGACAGCTGAGCAGTTAACATGGGATGGAGGGACAGCTGAGCAGTTAACATGGGATGGAGGGACAGCTGAGCAGTTAACATGGGATGGAGGGACGGCTGAGCAGTAAAGTTGGGGCTGGAGGGACGGCTGAGCAGTAAAGTTGGGGCTGGAGGGATGCCTCAGTGGTTTAGAATACTTGCTGCTCTTCCAGAGGATCCGAGTTCAGTTCCGTAGCACCCACATCAGGCAGCTCACGGTGACCTCTCACTACAGCTCTAAGGAATAATATGACACTGTCTTCTGACCTTCTCGGGCATCCACACATTCATAGATAAAAATGTCTTAAAAATAAAATAGAAAATGCTAGCCATCTGAAGAATGCTCTAGGGCTGGAGGTTAGCTCAGTGTAGACTTAGCACACACAGAGCCCTAGACTCAATCCCAGCACACCTCTCCAGGCAAGATGGCATACACCTATAAAGGCAGCACTCAGAGATCTGAGCCCAGCCTACACAGTAAGTTCTGGGCCTGACTGGACAACTGAGTGAGAACCTATCTATCTCACAAAGCCTTAAACAGAAGGAAGAATGACTTCATTCTTCTGTCTTAGCAAACAAGGAAAGGGGTGGACACGAAGAAGAGGAGGAAACAAATCCTGCACAGGACAAGGATGTTTCAAAGGAAATGGCAGAATGGAGAGAGAATGGAGCCAGTGCTGCTCCTTCCCTTGCTCTCCTGAGAAGAAATGCTCCCCTGGAGTCAGCATGCTGAGCTCTGTCGCTCAAGGTCCCACAAGGGGGGCCCTGGCAGGAGTTTAAGCTGCAATATGGAACTTTACACACCTGACTCAAACAGTAAAACAACTTACCCACAGAACCTTCAACATGCCTTAGTTATTACAATCAAGACCAGGAGAATATAGACATGAGAAAGGAAAAAATATAATTAAAGCAAATAAATATGGCAACTTTCCTGCTCTGACGTACCTCAGCTATGGGATACAGATTTACACATAACAACATCTGCACAGGGCTTTACCCAGAGAAAGCGGGACTTATTACCAGGCAACCTACTCAGTACTCCAGCTTCTAGAAAGATGCAAGCCAAAAAGATTCCCAAAGTACCTGGGTCACATACAGTGAGGCAGATGAAGGAAATCCTATTCCTGGTGGAATATGTAGTCCAAGGAGGGGAAGCAAATCAAGTTGAGGTGCTTCTGAAAACAGCACAAACCCAAAATTATCCCAGAATGAGTGCTATGTGGTAACAGCACAGAAAAGCTGGTCCCTCCATTTCACTCAGTGTAGGTAGCAAACCACTCAGCAAGGGCCTGACACTCCTGACATTTGTTTCTTGCACTATGAAAGGCACTAGTCTCAACCTGAACATTGAAAATAGGCCTTACATGGTAAATCATTTCAATTTTTTGAGTCTGTGAATTTCTTCAGTATTTATTTTTATGTATCAGGCATTAATGCTTCATTCACAGAAGGAAATCTTTTGACCGAGAACTCAGCCCCCCCCCCCCAAATCAAATAAACTGTACTTTAAGAGAAATTTTCCTGTGTTTGCCTGCATGTATGTGTAAGCTCCACATGTATAGAGGAGCACACTGAGAACAGAAGATGGCATTAGAGCCCCTTGAACTGGAGGCAGTTGTAAGCTGCCACTTGGGGACTGGGAACTGAACCCAGGTTCTCTGAAAGAACAGCAAGTGCTCCTAGCCACTGAACCCTCTCCAGCCCATTCGCCTAGACCTTCTGAGTATATAATCTGCAGCACTGAGCCCAGGATTCCACATTAACTTTCTGATCTAGTTTATGTTTTTCCCAACATTATAACACACCAATATTCATATCCATCCACGTTCAAAACACATATCTTTGTATGAATCAGAAAACCCAAGCCTTCAAGACTACACGAATCACAATGTGTACCTTACCTCTGGGGTGTTGGTGAGGCTTGAGTCTGTATCAGCATTGTCTTACCTGGCATTTTCTTTAGGAAATATTTTTGCAATTTCTTTAGACCACATGGAATTAACTCCTTCTGGGAAGAGTAGAAATGCCAGTACTGGTAGCAAGGTATAGGAATAAGGATGTATTTCTTACTTTGGGTTGGGTAACATGGTCCAGGAACAGGCACAAACATGCTGTAGGAAATCCTACCGCCAGTAGCCTTTAGGTTCCCCACCCCCTTGGGCGTGGCCTCTTATGCTGATGTGAAGTGCGTTAGCTCTCTTACACTTGGATTCAGTTCTTGTTCCCTGTTGGAGCAGAGGACTGTGATCTGTGAGTCTACCCCTAAATAAATAACCCTCTATTGTACTCAGTTCTGAGCCAGTGTGGGGTCTCTTTTTAGCGCCCGTCTTCACAAACACAGCATTATTTGGACTCAGTGGGAAAAAATAATAATAATAAAAAACTCTGGTAGCACATAACCTTTAATCTCAATACTAGGGAGGCAAGAGCAAGTGGATCTCTGTTAAATCCAAAGTCAAACTTCCTACACAGTGAGTCCTAGGCCAGGGTTAAAACAGAAAAGGGGGGGGGGGCACGTGGGAGATATTAGAGATGATAAGAGTGGAGACAGGATTTAATCAAAACACATTGTATGCATGTACAAAATTCTCAAACAGTAAATGATGAATATGTTTAAAAGCCCTCAAATTAACTACAAACACACTTCTGTTCTGCCAGGGGGTGGGGAGGTGTCCAAGATGTGATACACAGGTTATTTCAGAAGAAGTGAGAAAGACACACAGAAGTAACATTGAGAGTCTGTAGAGATTTATTGAACTTGAGAGTGACAGGACAGAATACATCCACAGGACAGGAGTGGACTCAAGCAGGCTGCTTAAGAACTCTGAATCCATAGGTTTTCACTAAAAATGCAGTTTATTAAAAGGGCAGACCTACCTTCTAGTAATTATAGGGAATGATTTCCTATGTTTTCTGGAAGAGTTTCTGTAACCTCAAGATGGTCCCCCAAGTCCAAGTGCTGGCATTTCTTGGTTAGGCTCTGGAGCTAAGTCACTGTGCTTCACAGTCATTCCTTTGTGGCCTTCTTCCTGCACTACTCCTCCCTGAGACACATCATCTGGAGAGAATCAAACTGATGGGAGGCTGAAGCTGTCATCTTTGGTAACTGCTTCAAGGTGGTGGGGCCTGTAGGGTACACTATGGTGGGCTCTATAGTCCCTGTGACCTGTAGGGTACACTATGGTGGGCTCTATAGTCCCTGTGACCTGTAGGGTACACTATCATGGGCAATATAGTCCCTGTGACCTGTAGGGTACACTATCATGGGCAATATAGTCCCTGTGACCTGTAGGGTACACTATGGTGGGCTCTATAGTCCCTGTGACCTGTAGGGTACACTATGGTGGGCTCTATAGTCCCTGTGACCTGTAGGGTACACTATGGTGGGCTCTATAGTCCCTGTGACCTGTAGGGTACACTATGGTGGGCTCTATAGTCCCTGTGACCTGTAGGGTACACTATCATGGGCAATATAGTCCCTGTGACCCTGTAGGGTACACTATGGTGGGCTCTATAGTCCCTGTGACCTGTAGGGTACACTATCATGGGCAATATAGTCCCTGTGACCTGTAGGGTACACTATGGTGGGCTCTATAGTCCCTGTGACCTGTAGGGTACACTATGGTGGGCTCTATAATCCCTGTGACCCCGTAGGGTACACTATCATGGGCACTATAGTCCTGTGATCCCAAAGGCTATACTACATTTTTTAAGAGCTCATCACTATTTTGAGTTCTTACATGTCTTTTATGTGAATTAGGATAAGCATTTTATCACATTGTTCACATGCAGAAGGTTTAGTGCTAGTTTTAGTTCTTTCATTCATTTGAAGGAAACAGGGATAAAGGAAGTAGGTATTGTTGACATTTATAGGGGTTTTCCACAGCATGGACGGACTGATGCCTCTTAAAGGAACTCTGCCGGCTGAAGGATCTGCCACACTGCACACACTCGTACGGTTTCTCTCCAGTATGTCTTCTTTCATGTAATCGGAGGTAAGAGTGATGCCTAAAAGCTTTACCACATTCTTTACATTCATAGGGTTTCTCTCCAGTGTGGCTTCTTTCATGAAACTGAAGGTAACTCTGACGTGTAAATGCTTTACCACAATGTTTACATTCATAAGGTTTTTCTCCCGTATGAGTTCTTTCATGTAACCGTATGGAAGAATGATATCTAAAAGCTTTCCCACACAGCTTACACTCAAAGGGCTTTTCACCTGTGTGCGTTCTTTCATGCATTTGAAGTAAAGAGGGGTAAATGAAGGACTTACCACACTCTTTACAATTATAAAATGTTTCTCCATGCATTATTTTATGTCTATGATAGGAACTCTGAGACTTGAAAACTATATCACACTGTTTACATTCATAGTGTTTTTCTCCAGTATGAACTTTTTCATGTAATCGCAGGTGAGTAAGTCTGCTAAAGGCTGTACCACAGTGTTTACATTCGTAAGGTTTTTCTCCAGTGTGAATTCTTTCATGTGACTGAAGGGCAGTGAGACATCTAAAGGCCTTACTACACTGCTGACACTTATATGGTCTTTCTTCAATATGAATTTTCTGATGTCTTTGAAGAGAATTGAAAGAACTCAAGGTTTTACCACACTGGTTACATTCATAACATTTCCGAACAGTCTGACTTCCTTCACACTCCTTGTAGTCATAGTTGTGATGTCCATTATAAGTTAGATGATACAGTCCATAGGATTTTAAACACACCTCACACTCAGAAGGCCCACTCGAAGTCTGAGTTTCCGTGTATCCTTCAATACTTGTAAGAAAATTGGAGTCCTGTGGCTTCTGTTCATAGTCTTCATGTACATACTGTGTATATTCAGAGTGAGATATGACGTGCCTATTAAAAGATAAATGACATGTGAAAATTTCTCCACCCACATTGCTGCTCATATTGAGACTGGTATATGGATAAGGTTGTCCCACCCTGACCACCTTCTTCAGTATCACAGGGTACCTGTAAATGTAACTAGTGTGCAAAATGGCAAGCACATTAGTCACAGTTGATTCATCACTGCTTGCTTATTAAATCATCTTGCTTGGACAACCTGCTACAATCAAAATGTGCCTTCACATGAAGGGTCTAAAAATAAATGAACTGCTGGCCTACAATACAGTTCCCACAGGCCTAGGATCAAAATGGTAGCATTCGTTAACGCAGGGTCCCAGAACTGGTTCTAGATGAATGACTACACAAAAAATATTTTGGGTGAAAATTTTCTACTGACAAATTAATTTAAAGTCAGGCTTATTTGTTTTTTAACTTGTCAAATTTCCATGGCACAGCAGCAGAAGAAAAGGCTCAGTGGTTAAGAGAACGGGGTGTTCTTCTAGAGAACCCTGATTCAGTTCCCAGCACCAACATGGGGAGGGGGGGTAACAATCCAATTCCAAAGGATTGGAGGCCCTCTTCTGGCTTCCGAGGGCACAGCATGCATGTAGTACACAGACTATACAAACAAAACACCCTTATAAATAAAATAAAAATAAATAAATCTTGCCAGGCAGTGGTGGTACATGCCTTTAATTACTCAGGAAGGAGAAGCAGCTGGATCTCTGTGAGTTCAAGGCCAGCACAGACTACAAAGAAAGCTCCAGCACAGCCAGGGCTATACAGAAAAACCCTATATCAAAAAACCAAAACACAAATAAATAAACACAAAAAATAATTCTTAAAAACAAAATCTTTACAGCACACAAAATTTCTTCCAGGAACATTTGCTTGCACTTGTGCATGCAGATTACCTTAGATTTATTTCAGGATCTTCATTATGTTCTTCAATTTTCTGGTCTTCCCATTCATATCCTAAAATATTTGCACAGTAATGTGTGATGAATTACTAGGATGTACATTGTCACTACACCTAATTCTTTACCACATTCTTCCCTCTCCACATCCGAATCACACTGACCATCAATAACCAGAAACACTTGCTCTCTAGTTTACAAAGTGAAGGTAAGATGATATCCTCACCGATGGCAGTGAAGTTCCTGCAGGTCTCCAGCATCACATCTCCATAGAGACTCTTCTGGGAAGGATCCAGCAAATCCCACTCTTCCTGGGTGAAGTGCACAGCCAGATCCTCAAAGCTCACCAGGTCCTAAAACATCCCATATTTGTATATAAAAGAACGGGTGAGAACGACATCTGTCCACATCTGACAGTACGACAGCATAACTGTGTGGTCTTCACACACTCATTCCATGACGCATGAGTTCTAGCAAAACACCGAATGATGTTCAGGGATGGCAGACAGATCACTCTCCTCATTCCTGCACTCAAGAGATGAGCTGCTCCCCACCCCTTCCCTTTCTCCAGTTATCTCTACTTCTTGCCCCAGGAACACCCTATCATCTGATACAGCGACATTAAATTAGGGCTCAGGAGGCTGTTTGTCCTTGGGATTCAGGCTCAGAGTTTAGCTTCTTCCTCCATATTCCTGACACTCAAAGAAATTTCTGAAAACAAGGTTAAGAAAAAAAAAGGAAAGCACATAAAGTGCAGAGAATTTGTACAAGTAACAGAATCTCTGGACCAAGTCCTCTGGACATGTCCTGAAGCATATGGCAAACTCTACCCTAAGACAAACACAAAGAGCAAACTCTGGAAAAGAGAGAGTGATTTCCTAAAGTACTACATAACCATGGACACTCTTTAAGACAGCTATTTAGTGTGTGTGCATTTATTTGCATGGGCACACACGTCACTATGAGTGTGGGAGTCAGTTTGCTCCTTCTACCATGTGTGCCCCAGGGACTGAACTCAGGTTATCATGTCTAGTGGCAGTTGCACTGACCTGCTGAGCCATATCACTGCCCAGAGGTGTTGTGGAATATTATTTTAAGATGTATTACATTTGCTTATGCTGTGGAATACTTGTTTAATAAATAATGCAAAGACATGTCGCATTCTTTTATGTTACATTTGTCTAACACTGTGAAGTTATGCTACTTTGGCTGTCTAAAACACCTGACTGGTCTAATAAAGAGCTGAATGGCCAATAGCAAGGCAGGAGAAAGGATAGATGGGACTGGCAGGCAGAGAGAATACATAGGAGGAGAAATCTGGAAGGAGGGATCAAGGAGCGAGAAAAGGAAGGGGTCAGCCAGTCAGCCACCTACCTACACAGTCAGACAAGTAGTAAGAAGGAAAGAAAAGATATACAAATACAGAGAAAGGTAAAAACCCAGAATCAAAAGACAGATAATTTAAGAAAAGCTCGCTAGCAATAAGCCAAGCTAAGGTCAGGCATTCATAAGAAAGAATAAGCCTTCGTCTGTGATTGAGAGCTGGGTGGCAGGCCCTCCAAAGAGCCAAACAAGTTAAAGAAAACAGCAACACAAATGCTCACTCGTTTTGGTTTTTTTGAGACAGGGTCTCAGATGTAGCCTTGCTTGCTGGCCTGGAGCTTGCTATGTAGACCAGGCTGGTCTCGAACTCATAAAAATCAACCTGCCTCAATACCCCAAGAACTGGAATTAAACGTGCAACATCACGCCCAGCAATGCTCACTTTTAACAATCAAAAAATGCAGAAAGAATGCAGAAAAATACAATTGTGAAAACTGGAATGGGAAAAAACGTATTTGAGGTAAGTCATCTCTGAAAATTATCAGTAACTACACAATCTAAATAGCGCCACCCACTAGGGATTAAGTGTTGTACACATGTACCTAGAAGGGCAATGTCACACTCAAATGATGAAAATCATTTTTAAAAAAATGCCCCATAGCCACAAGTTTAGTAACTTATATGAAATTAACAAATTCTTTCGGACTACACGGAGAAAACTACTGGACTATAAATGGAGTACCTTAGATGAAAGGGCCAAATTATTTGAAGACTCTATCAAGATAAGAGATGAAATAGTATAACTATGTACATGCACATGTAGAAAAGAAATTAAATCAATATTTAATAGTTGAAAACAGGACAAGGCTTCCTCTGGAGCTAACACTGCCATGTGGTCTCCTAGGTAGCTTACCTTTTCTTTCCCTTTTGCCCTCCTCTTTAGGATGCTGGCTGGTGCCTAAATGTGCTTTTTCTGGTACTTTGGGCTTCTCTGCCACGGGACTGACCACTATACCAATTTAATTCATGAATCATTGCTTTCTCTTCCCTTATCCATCTCCCCTTACTGGCAGCTGCCAGTACTGGGGGCTTGCTTTCAACTCAAAACTGTCCTTACAGTTCTTAAATTCTTTTTTTAATTACTTTATGTGTGTACATGTGCAACTGTATGTATATGTACCATGTGGATTCAGTACCCACAGAGGCCAGAAGAGGACATTGGTCCCCTTCAAACTAGAGTTAGAACAGTTGGGACCTACCACATAGGTAATGGAAATTGAACCTGGGTCCTCTGTAAGAACAGTAACTGCTGTTAACTTCCAAGTCATCTCTTCAGCCTTAAATTCTTTTTAGTAACAAGACAAAGAACCCCAAGAGGAGACCCAAATTTCCCATGTGCAGGCAGAATTTCCCAAAATCCTGTACCATGACAAAGCTGCTCACAAAGACATAAATGCAGGCAAAACACCAATGCACATGAAATTAAAAAACAAATTTTAAAAATTAAAAATATATACAAATTAAACTAAGTGGTGTTGGCACATGTCTTTAATTCAGAAAGGCAAAGGCAGACAGGTCTCTGTGAGTCTGAAGCCAGCCTAGACAGCCAGTTCCATGGCAGGCTAGGCTGATACACAGATAAACCCTGTCTCAAAAAGCAAAAACCAAAATGTGCTTGTGTGTGTGTGTGTACACATGTATTAAATTAAATAGATAATGGTGATTTAAAATAATGCTTAGAATATATAGGAGGACACAGTTAGCTATCTGAACCAATCAGGATTCTCTTGAGGACAGAACTAAAATAACAAGGAGAATTTATTAGATTACCTTATCTAATTTACATCTTACCTGATCTGGCCTGGAGAGTCCAATAATGGCAGTCTCCATGACAGAGAGGCTCCATCCACAAAGACTAGAAGCCTCAAGAGCTTCAATCTGGCGCCTCAGGCCCAGAGCACACCTGGACAGCTTCTGGTCTTCAGCCCACACCAGAAAGTACAAAAAGCTGGGTTCCAATGTCAGTGAAGGATGGTGGCAGTGGCGGCAGCAGTAGCAGCAGCAGCAATGGGACAGATGCACTCACTAGCAAGAAGTGAAGGCAGGCAGGAGATCAACACTGCTTCTTCTTTGGACTTCTCTGTATTAAGGCCACACTCAAAGTGCCACCTACTATACAACAGGGTCTTCTCGGCTCAGTTAGGACTTCCTGAAGTTTCCTGGCAGTCCTGCGCAGATACAGGTCTCTTAGTTGATTCCAAAGCCAATCAGGTCAACCATTAGCCATCATACAAACAACCAGCAATATTCAGGACTTGTGTTCCTACCAAGTATGTCCCCTCACACTACACCCTCCTAATCTCTGGGTCTGTCTGTCTCCACCCAGACTCGTCTTACTTGTGACTAAACGTGTCTCAACCAAATCAGCAGCAACCTGCATTTTCTCCCTCTCACACTACTGGCCAAATCCTAGCACACAGACTGATGCAGGTTCTGCTAAAGCCCTTGGGCTTAGAAGGGAGGTCCCACCTGAGTGGGGCTCCTATGGCTGAGGCCCACAATCACCAAAACCACATGATAAAAGTTTCCTATCACAGGTTTAGAAGTGTTTAGTTCTGTTTTGTTGTTGTTTTGGGTTTGTTTTTGTTTTTTTTTTTCTTTTTGCATGTTTGTTTGGGGGTGGGGTTGTTTCAATTATGGCTTTTCAAGACAGAGTTTCTCTGTGACGCACTGGTTGTCTTGGAACTAGCTCTGTAGACGAGGCTGGCCTCGAATTCAGAGATCAACCTCCCAACTGTCTTGGGGCCAGGTTACTTTCTAAATATTTATTTTCTTGCCCATAAACAAATGAAATGATACTCTCCCTTTGCAATGAGTATCAGTGAACACAGGCTACATGGGCGTTCAAAGCACCAAGAATAAGTAATGGTTAAGTGCTCAACCCAAAATAGGCCATTTTTTTAAGCATTTTTTTAAATTCTGCTTTTAGGATTTTGATATAGATATGAATAATTTGTATTAGTATAGATTTTGTTTTATTGATAGAGATTTAAGGTCAATTTTGTTATATGTATATTTTTGTTATTGATTAGGATATTGTGATTCTGTAGTTCATTAAAAAATGTAATGTATAATTAAGAAATATAGGTTAATGGATAATCATCAGTAATAGTCAAGTTTGTAGTCATGTTAGTTAGATTTTCTAGATATACAGAGAGACATTTCATTACATGGGCTGCCAAGCTAAACCAGAATGGATATAAGGGTATTACGATTTCAAAATTTGGGTCTACGGATATGATGCTTTGGAGAGGGTCTTCTTTTGTTTTCACAGAGGACCAGACCCTGTGGATTGATTCTATCCCAATATGGTATGATAGACCACAACCTCCCGAAGGGTTGCTGTAAACATCTTCAGAAAATTGCTTCGCTCAACTGCCAACTGAGATGAAACTACCACACAGGTTATACCATGAAAGACCTCATTAAAGACGCCCCCATTCAGCAGAAAGCAGTTTGGAGAGAAAAAACTGCGCCCATGTTCCCAAATATGGTTTATAAAAGTTCTTTAACATTTAAAGGGGGATATGATATAGATATGAATAATTTGTATTAGTATAGATTTTGCTTTATTGATAGAGATTTAAGGTCAATTTTGTTATATGTATATGCATATTTCTGCTATTGATTAGGATATTGTGAATCTGTAGTTCATTAAAAATGTAATGTATAATTAAGAAATATAGGTTAATGGATAATCATCAGTAATAGTCAAGTTTGTAGTCATGTTAGTTAGATTTTCTAGATATATAGAGATACATTTCAGTTAGATAGACATTCTTCATATCTTTCAAAGACTGCAGAATATGGCATTTAATGTTTTAATAACTTAGGGCTTTTCATGACAATGAGACACGTCTGCTCCTGGCAGCACCAATCTACTTCGAGAGGAAGATGGGCATCGAAGAGGATCCTTATGGAGTTTGATAGCCATTTGTGCAAGAAACTGCTCTTGCCTGGACTGTTGCATAAACTGGACACAAAGAACCCACAGAGAGAGGACTGCTGAACTTGCCTAAAGGTGAGATGATCTTTGGGGGTTCCTGATTCATGAAAGAGTCTGCAAGACATTCTGCAGGACACAGCAGATAGTGACTGAACTGCCTTTGAAATTTCCTGCTTCATGGAAAAATGTCTGCTGGATACTATGGGCCTATAGGCCAAAGATGGATGCCCCAATGGTACAAAAGAACTTTGGGTGACTGTACAGGCAGCGAGATGTCTCTGTCATTTCTAGAGTTTTCTTATTTCTTGTTTACTTAGGTAATATTATATCCTTCTGGAGTCTTTGATGGAGTTAAAGAATGGATAGATAATCATAGTTTTCCTTAGTTATGATAAAGGATAAAATAGATATAAATATTGTAACTGTAATTCTTGCATAATAATTATTTTGCTATATGTAATTTTACTATGTTAAAGTTAAAGCCTTTCTTTTTTGTTTAAAGAGAAAAAAGGGAAATGATGTGGGAGTGATTTCTTATTAATAAAGAAACTGCCTAGACCTATTTGATAGGCCAACCCTTAGGTAGGCGGAGTAAACAGAACAGAATGCTGGGAGAAAGAAGCTGAGTCAAGGAGTCGCCATGATTCTCCCACTCCAGACAGACGCAGGTTAAGATCATTCCTGGTAAGCCATCTCGTGGGCTACACAGATTAATAAAAATGGGTTAGATCTATTTGTAAGAGCTAGCCAATAAGAAACTGAAACTAATGGGTGAGGCAGTGTTTAAAAGAATACAGTTTCCGTGTAATTATTTCGGGTAAAGCTAGCCGTGCGGGCGGCCGGGTGCCGGGGACGCAGCCAGCCGCTCCTATTTCAACAGGATTTTATTTATATTTTGTGTTAGGATATTATGCCTTCATGGTTTTTTAGGGGGAGGGGTTCGAGACAGGGTTTCTCTGTGTAGTTCTGGCTGATCTCAAACTCAGAAATCCTCCTGCCTCTGCCTCCTGAGTCCTGAGATTAAAGGTGTACACCACCACCACCACCCAGCTCATACAGGGATTTCTTTGCAACATGTTCATACAGTGCCCAAGAAGGTCAGAAGATGAACTGGAGTTACAAGTGGTTGTGAGCCACCTTGTAGGTGCTAGGAATTGTCCTCTGGTCCTTGGAGAGGGCAGCCAGTGCTCTTAACCATGAAGCCATCTTTCCAGCCCCAAACTACAAATGACTAATGAAAGCGATCAACTAATAGAGGAGTGCTAGCACAGGGTATGTTCAGTACGAGGTCAGGCTGCACCCTGTTCTAAGCTACTCCATATTGTAAACAGTAGATGTTCAGTACGGAGGTCAGGCTGCACCCTGTTCTAAGCTACTCCATATTGTAAACAGTAGATGTTCAGTACGGAGGTCAGGCTGCACCCTGTTCTAAGCTACTCCATATTGTAAAAAAGTAGCTTTCTAGGCAATGCCTTGCCCTGAGACTCAATTTTAAGAAAAGAGAATGACTGCAGCCCCTCAGTAGATCCACAAAAACACTATCTGTTCACCCAAATAGTGCAGACTGATACATGGCTTATTCTTGGGAACAGAAAGGGAGGTAAGTTTATCAGAGTGAGTTGACACTAGAGGGCCACACGAGAGCACTAAAATGTTATTAGGGAAACCAGGCCAGGAAACGATATAACTCCCTCTCCTAGCCCCTAGCCTCATAAAGTGATAGTGGGATGGCTGGCCCCAAACCAACCAACCAACTTATCACCTCATACCTGGCTGGCACCAAACCAACCAACCAACTTATCACCTCATACCTGGCTGGCCCCAAATCAACCAACCAACTTATCACCTCATACCTGGCTGGCCCCAAACCAACCAACCAACTTATCACCTCATACCTGGCTGGCCCCAAACCAACCAACCAACTTATCACCTCATACCTGGCATGTATGTGAACGCAGGACAGACAAGGAACTCCTGCCCCTGAGGTTTCAAATCAACTAAGTCCAACCTCTTGACAGCCCAACCTATTCCACTACCTGTCCCTCCAGACCTTCTCCCTGTCTAGACCTAGACCTGAACCCAGAGTTGCCTGTTCTCAAAGCCTACTTCTGGCTTTTATCTCACAACTAGAACTCTGTAACATAGCTGAGAAAACTGAGTCCTCCTTGTGGCTTCATCAAAGGCACCCTACATTTCCTGTGGCATACTAGTTTTGAGTTCCTTATCATACCAGTGCAGGCTCTGTCTGCATTTCTCTCAGCCCACTTTTGTGACTTTTCTTTTACTTGTATCCATTATATATATTATGAATATATATGCTAGTTATACTGTGTTGTGTGATATGAGAATATTAGTAATAAATAATGGAACAAACCTGCATTAACCTTGTCCCAATTGCCAAGGTTCGTGGAATTATCTAACAAATTACTATCTTCAAAACCATAGTACCTTTTGAATTTATTGTTATTCAAAAACATTCTGAGAGAGAAAACAAGCTCCACCAGGAACAGAAGCTAGGCGCAAATCCAGTCTGGGACTCAGGCAAATCAGGACTGAGCCAGCGACCACATCCAGAGTCAGCGATCTCCACCAGAACAGGTCCAAATCCAAGCCAGGGACTTCTGCAGAAGAAGATCCAGACCAGGATTTACAGAAACAGAACAAAGCCAGCAGCCTAGGCCAAAGTAGGTCTGAGACAACAAACTCCAACAGAACAGAGCAAAGCACAAGACTGCTGAGCTATCTCCAGGAACAGGAGTAGCCAACGGGGTAACTAGAACTGTGACACTGACTGTACCAAGAGGAACAGTCATCGGAGCTTTGGATTCACTGGCACCTAGAAGATTAATCAACAGAATTCAGACAGCCCCAACCACACCTATTAGAGGAAAAGATGAGTAGAAAAGGTAAGATCACACTCTACACCACAAAGAGCAACACAATACCAATAAAACCTAAAGATCCTACAGCAGCAAGACCTGAACAACCAAATATGGATTGTAGGGATAAGTCCCGCCCCTTAGGGGGCGTGTTCGCCTCGGGCTAATGTTGGCCTATAAATTTGACAAGCGTGCTCCCAGCCGTCCTTTTCTGCTTTCCTGGTCTCCGCGGAACGGTGATTCTGTAAGTCTATTTTGCCATTAAAGCTATATATATTTTTGCAATCTGTCTGCATTCGTTTACGCCGTTACATTTTGGCATCCAAAATGGGCTATTTTGCCC